GCGCTCTACCACTTGAGCCACAGCGCCACTTCCGGCTTTTTTCTTTTTTGCTTATGTGGTGCTGAGGAATGGAACCCAAGCACTCTACCACTGAGCCACCTTCCCAGCCCGGCTTTGGTTGTTTTTAAGATAAGGTCTCACTTTTTTTTTTTTTTTACCTGAACCACAGTCCTGTTTATATTTTCCATTGTAACTAGGGTAACAGTGAGAATCACCATATTTAGCCTTTTTCAGTTGAGATAAACTCCTGTGAACTTTTTTCACCTTGAACTATGATCCTTTTGATATCAGCCTCTTGAGTATGTAAATGATCTACTGGGCCTGACTAGTTCTTTTTCTACAAAGCCTCATATTTTTTGCTGTAGCTGGCGTGCACTGTGATCTTCCTACTTTTTTTTTTTTTCTGGTGGTTAGTTGGAGATAAGAGTCTCGTGGACTTTCTTGACCTGGCTGGCTTTGAACCATGATCCTCAAATCTTAGCCTCCTGAGTAGCTCGGATTATAGGTGTGAGCCACTGACACCCTCCTATCTTCCTACTTTTACTTTTCAAGTAGCTAGGATTATAGACATGAGCCACTGGCCCAACTGAAATACTACATTCTTAGTGAGAGTGACTGATACAAAGGCCCCCTGAGAATCAAGCTAAATCCTGTGTTATAATCTGATGTGTTGATTATGTTTCCACTCATATGTGGAGTCTCATACATGGTTTCATAATGAAGCCCATTATTTTATACAATATATGCTAATAAACATATAAAAAGCTGGGCACTTGTGGCTTATGCCCATAATCCTAGCTACTCAGGAAGTTGAGATCTGAGGATTATTGTTTGAAGCCAGCCCTGGCAGGAAAGTCCATGAGACTTTTATCTCCATTTAAGTACAAAAACAAAATCTAGAAATAGAGATGTGGCTTAAGTGGTAGAGTACTAGCTTTGAACACAAAAGCTCAGGGACAGTGCCCAAGCTCTTGAGTTCAAGCCATAGAACCAACACACACACACACACACACACACACACACACACGAACACATACACACTTGACCAATTAGCTTAGAACATAAATATCTACATCATTAACTTTTTTTTTTGCCAGTCCTGGGGCTTGAACTCAGGGCCTGAGCACTGTCCCTGAGCTTCTTTTTTTGCTCAAGGCTAGCACTCTACCACTTGAGCCACAGCGCCACTTCCAGCTTTTTCTGTTTATGTGGTGCTGAGGAATCGAATCCAGGGCTTCATGCCTGTTAGGCAAGCACTCTACTATTAAGCCATATTCCCAGAGCCATTAACTTTAAAACCACCAACGTTGAAAATTCTGTATATACTCCAAAAGAAATACTGAAGTCCTGGTTAGTGAAAAGTCCAAGTTTTTGGGTTAGAGAATGCTGCCTCATTCTCTCGCTAACTTATCATTAATCTCTTAGGAAACCACTAGATTTATATACAAAAACAAAACGTAATTTCTTGCAATTAATTGCCAAAGTGGAGGGCTTTTTTTTTTCATTTTTATCTGTTATCCAGCATTCTAATAACAATTCCCTGCCCCCCTGACAAATCCACAGCCAAATGAAATTGATAAATATTATGATGTGGCCAGCAAAGTCCCAAAGAGAGATCTCTAGAAGACTGTGGGAAATCTTTGACTCAAGGCCCAACTTTGTTTCTCACAGTTCAGAGTTTGCCCTTCTGAACCTGCCCCTTCCCTCTTAAATTCCATGTGTATGCATTTGTGTGCACACCCACACACACATACACACACTCCTTGGGGAAGAAATGAGAAATAATTACTATGAACAGAAAATAGACATTATAAGGAGCAGCCTGTATTTAGTAAGCATTTATTATTTCCTATACTTAAATAATAGTACATAATAAGCATGAGGCTAGACACAGGAGTAATAATATGGGTTGACATAAACTTCAAAAGAAGACCAACAGCAAGGCACTGGTGGTTCAAGCCTATAATCCTAGCTACTCAGGAGGCTGAGATCAAATTTTCAAAGTCAGCCTGAGCAGGAAAGTCCAAGATACTATTTTTTTTTGGTGGGGGGGTCATGGGGCCTGGGTCTGGGCACTGTCCTGCAGCTCTTCAGCTCAGGGCTAGTGCTCTACCACTTGAGCCATAGTGCTACTTCTGGCCTTTTCTGCTTATGTGGTGCTGAGGAATCGAACCAGGGCCTCATACATGCAAGGAAAGCACTCTACCACTGAGCTACCTTTGCAGCCCAAGTATTACTTTACTTTTTTTTTTTTTTTTTTGGTGTGGGGCTTGAACTCTGGGCCTGGGCAGAGCTCTTCAGCTCAAGGTGAGTGCTTTACCATTTGAACCACAGCACCACTTCTCAAGATATTCTTTTTTTTTTTTGGTCTGGAATCGAATCCAGGGCCTCACGCATGCAAGGCAAGCGCTCTACCACTGAGCCACCTTCCCAGCCCAAGATATTATTTTCTCTAATAAACTACTCAGAAAAAGCCAGAAGTAAGC